GGGGGGGTGACAGGAGGGGTGAAGTGGACTTATACATTGTTTACGGGAACATAGGCCTATCAGAGGGTGAAAAGGGGATCAGCATTTTTTTCTGCTCTAATCTCAAGTTTTAAGTCGCGCGCGTGATTTTAGGAGGGTTTTGCGCTTGGTCGGATATGCCCAACTCTAAATTTTCCTTTTGAGTGATGTTGAAGCTTTGGAGCATATATACAAACAGATCTGATTCGACATGGTTCAAATCCAAACGCATCTGTCTGCACTTTATAACCTGCCAGCGAGCGTTCCTTTACAGATCGAGGTTTACAAAAGTTTACCAACCCTGTATGGAAAGTTATTATCATATAAAAGGTTAAAATTACAGATTTCCCATTAACAAAAGAGAGAACACCAGATAGAGAGAGAGAGAGAGAGAGAGAGAGAGAGAGAGAGAGAGAGAGAGAGAGAGATAGAGGGGTGGTTAGAAAGAAAGAGGGAAAGAAAGAGGCACAGAGAGAGAAAGATAGAGAGAGAGAGAGAAAGATAGAGAGAGAGAGAAAGAAAGAGAGAAGGGGGATACAGAGACAGAAAGAAAGAGGGACGGGTTTGTTGTAGATACTCTAGTTCTACTTGTGAGCCGGAGGAAACCCAGAGGCCAGTGACTATCCTACTCAGATCATCTAACCATGGTATCAAGCTCGACGCTGGCTTTTACATTTTCAACCAAAGGGTTAACGCCCCCTATCCTCAGTTTTACGTTATGTAAGAGGCAGAAGCTCCAAATTTAACATCTGTCTCCCATAGAAATGAGTTTAATTACTTGAGAACTTTGACAACCCCATGAAACGACTCAGGTTAATTTTTAAACCGATTCATTCTCTTACATTATTTGTCTTGTACAAGAAGAATAGGTGAAACATTTTAAGTTCTCGACTAGTTTTACTTTGTTCAGAGCATAGACTTAAATAACAGGCCTTATAACCTTAACCGGGCACTGTTTTGGCCGCCTCTCTTTGCTCTTTATAAAACTTTACTGCGTTAATGTGCATAAATTAAATGACGGGCAAGGCACCAGTTTAACCTTCCACTTTACCTAGAATTACAAATTTCTATCTAACATTTTTTGCCGCTATGAGTTAAAAGACCAAGAGGTCAGAAACCAAATTTTATCTGCACTATCTAAATCGTTCGATTATGCAGAGTCGTTAATAAGATATTAAAGAAACTGCATTCGTAAAGTTAAGTTTGACAAGTTGTGAAATCAAAATCTTGTTCATCAAATGTCTCAAAACTAGGTACTGAGCAGGTAGTACTATAATATATTTCTGGTGCAGCAAATAGTCGAGTGTGCTTGCAACTCCTCCTCCCCCTTTTTGTTCTTCATTTGGTTCCAAATAAAGTCAAATGTGCTCCGAGGTGAACTGGAATTACTAGCAGAGTGTATTAAAAAAAAAACACGTCTATGGTTCAGAGAGATACTAAGGGAGTCCCAAAAAACCCCACCGAAAACCATTTCAGCATCGTTTTGGGACATCGGCAGAACATAGTTGTTGTAAAGTTATCCATAAACTATACACATCGTCTATAGGTAGGATTGTAAGCATGTCTTTGTCCACACAGTTAAAATATAATTGGTTGTGAGGTGAGGGAGAAAGTCAGTGAATAAGGGAAATAGTGAGCAAATAAAACAAGCAATGTGCACAAACATACGCGTGCGCGCGCACAAACACACACACATACACACACACACACACACACACACACATACACACACACACACACACACATACACCCA